TTAAATAGAGGGGAGTCGCAAAGCTCTTGACATCATCCCTTAGATAGCAAAGTGAGTTGTTATATTTATTAGTGTGTTGCAAAGTTCATTTTGTTTGTGTGAGGGGTAAAAATGGCAAACTCCAAAACTTCTTGTTAATTGTTGGAATGATGATATCCATCATTTGTTATCAAATATTTTTTTCTTACTAGAGATAAAAATACCGAGTTCACATAAAATAAAAATAAAAATGCAAGATTGATTATTGTTGTGTCTATTTTATTTTATTTTATTTTAAATGATGGAAAACCGCTTCAAAGTAGAGCCTTTTTGACCCATCATTCGAGAGAAACTTGAGATATATGCGAATAATCTCACAAACGTACATCAGACGAAATTAAAAAACCTTAAATTCAAGACTTACTATTTCATTGGCAAAAATCTCACCCTATTATATTCAGTTATGAAAAAATCTTATTAGAAATTCGTTTATTTTTATAATTCTATTCATCCACACTTTTTTTTAATTAGATGTACTCCGTATTTTTTGTTTTAGTTGACAAATTATAATAAAACCCTTCATACTTTTGTCAATTACCTCTCTTAAAACTTTACACTTAAAATTGGATAGTAAGAACAAATTGCAAAGTGATTTTGGTAATCAAAAAAAAAGAGAAAAGAGAAGAAAAATGCTATGAATCCCGCTCACAAAGCTTGAATGTATCTCGAATGAGAGTTATGTGGATGAAATTGAATTTGTATAATGTTAGGTTTTATGTGTAGAATAAATCTAAATTACAAAATAAAATAATTAAGTCTGTGTTTGTAGTATTACTGTTTAAAAAATAAAAATAAAACTACTAATAGCACTCCCATTACTAATTGTTATATTACCTTTGTCATAATATTTACTTGAAAATATCATATTATGACCTAAAGATTTTTTTATTTTTTTTTATCGAGGAAAACATGCAAATGAGAAGTGTAGAAGAGGCCAAGTATGGTGGCCACAGGTGTAGTCATGGTTACGATCACAATCAGAATTGCAATTGCCGCTGTAGTTACGGTTACGGTTATAATCATGGTTGCGGTTATGGTCACAAACATGAACATGAAAACTTGGCCACAGTGGCCACCTTAGACATGGTGCTGGTGAGACAAAAGATGCGGAAATCTTGTCCGATCAGAACTAGATGATCTCTAGAAAGCATATGCATGTTTTGTGTGTGCAAATAAAATAAATATGTAAATGAAATGAAAATCGGATTCACGTAGATTTCTCATTCCTTAGTCAGAATTACATGTAGCCATGAAAGAAAGATTAAGTGGAACAGAATTAACTGGGTGGTCGAGTCATGGAAACGCTTCTTTCTTCCATATTTTGGACCTTAGCTCCATGGAACAATATAATACTGCTGAAACATAAAAGAATTGAAATCTTAGATCAAAACACTATGTATGGATGGTTAGGGGTGGGCGCGGGTTGGTTGCGGCCACGGAACCTCCAATCCGCCATCCGTCTGCCAAATTGGTGGATTGGAGAAAATCAATCCGCATCCGTCCACCAATCCGGCAGATGTGGATTGAGCGGCTTGCGCGGTTTGGCGGATGGATGCGAATCGGTTTGGCAGTTTAAAATTTTATAAATTTTTAACATAATTCAACTTGTGTACTTTCTCAAAAAAAAAAAAGAAAAAAGTATTAGATTCAATGACTTAAAAAAATATTACAATCACTGCATGCCTCAACCAAAGTAAGAAAGTTTGAAACTTTAGAATATCACAATCACTGCATGCCTCATCCACATACTACAATCATAGCATGCCTCATTCACATAAAGTATTATAATCGGTGGCTCTTAAAATATAAAAACAATTCAAACCACCAAAACCATGAACAGAGCAATAGTAGAGATTGTATATCTCTGTATTGTTACATCTATATCTGTTTTTGAAAACAAAAACCAACTAGCATATATCATATTTTCTATTTATTATTTTTAGAGATAGATTTAAAAATAAAAAAATATAGATAAATAATACGTTTATTTTTTTCAATTCAAAAAAGATATTTAAGTTGAAAACTTTTTTCAACAGAAAATTTAAACTCTTTTTTAATTGAAAACACAAATAGAATATTTAAACAAACTGAAAATACAAAGTCTTTCGGCGGTTTGGCGGTTCGGTTGCGGCCAAAGGAATCTCAAATCCGCCATCCGTCCGCCAGATTGGCGGATTGGAGAAAATCAATCCGCAACCGTCCGCTCGTCATCGCGCATCCGTCCAAAATGCGACGGATCGATTCGGTTCGGTCGGTTTTGACGGATCGGTATATCCGCTGCTCACCCCTATGGATGGTAGAATAAGGCATAAGGTGAGCGTGTGCCACAAGTAATAAAGATGTATTAGACGTATGATATCATTGTCAACACTTTCATATCTGTTTCTTATTCATGTGTTTTTTATGTTGTGTTGCAAGACATTTTAATATGTTTAACTATAATCTTAAGCCAAGGGCAATACTTTTTGGACAATGTTGATATCCAAAATTAAGTAAAAGGAAAAAAAAAATGATACAAATTCAACTTATATTTTATTTTATTTTTCCATTTTCTTTTTATTCACAAATTCCTTCTTAAACCTTAAACCAACCACAACCTTAGGACCTGGATAATCAAATAATGTTGCTTGGGTGTGCTATCTTTCGGGTTAAAGCAAAATTTTTTGATAAACTATTTCAAATTCATCTCTATTAACATGTTGTCTTTCATATCAAATTATGACAAAGTCAAATTTGACATAAAATTTAACAACGAGCTTTTTTAAGAAAAGAGAGTGTGGACTATTTGGAAAGTGTTAAGACCTTATTTGGTGCAACTTATTGAAAATTAAAAATTGATAATCACAAAACAGAAAAGCTTGAATCTCTAGAAGCTTGTTGTCGAGCATCGATTTTGTTTATTAGATTTAATCTTTAAAATGACTAAAGAGAGAGAGAGTCTGCAATAAAATTGTACAAGAATGAATTTGGATTTCTCTCTATATTCAAAAACTTGCTAAATGGCCCAACCCAACACAATAGAAGACTCAGCCGACAAATCAAGTCAATAAAGGTGTAGATTTAGACTGGCCCATCCCATATTTTAGTTTTAAGTGGATATTGAACCTAGCCCATTTTAAGTTAAAAAATGCCCATTTTAATTTTCTTTATTGCTCAACCCTATTAAGAATTTAAAATGGGTTAGCTGGGTTAGTCAGAATTTAAAATGAGTTAGCTGGGTAAGTGATAGCACGTGGCTAAAGTGACGCCTAAATGTCAGTTGAGGTGCCACGTGGTTTGATCATGCTTGCCGAGATAATCTCAGCTAAGCCGAGGTTATTTGCGGAGATGCCGAAATCCGAGATAAGTGGATAAGGGACAAGAATTCTAGACGAAAGAGGACTTTAGCTTGGATAAAGATAAAACTCTTAGGGAGTTTTTCCCTATATAGCTAAGAGTCCAAGGTAAGCATTATGTGCTTGAGCCCTCTGAAGTGAGGCGTCTAGGGGATTTGGGCATTAATGGCTATAAAAGAGAGGCACCCTCGTGGGTCTCAAGTATGTGTAATGTACTTTGAGCAGTGACTTGTGAGTTATACTTTAATTTGATATATTTGAGAGATTACTAACTTGATCGTCGAAGTGCCCCCGAGTGGCGAACCACTGCAGTATTCTTATCTTCTTGTTACAGGTTGTTGGGCTTAATCTATTTTGCCGGTACTCTCCAGCTGAGTTCCCCCTTTTGGTTGTGTGGTCAAAAATCAACACCCACAATTTGGCGCCGTCTATGGGAACTTAAGAAGAATAGATGGCTAACAACGGACAGGAAAAAACAGATTGAAAACGACATCCACAGTGAGAATGAGGAGCGTGTGGATCCTAATGTAAGGGAGAAAAACCGTAACGAAGGAGTACAAGAACCGAATCTTGGAAAAAAGGATATCGGCAAAGAGCGTAACATCTCGAAGAAAGAATGGAGAGAGCAACAATTCGGCTAGAGGCATACCAACAGCAACTTTTTAGGGCCTACAACAAAAAGGTCAATCCAAAGGAGTTTCAGGTTGGGAACCTTGTCCTTAGAAAAGTTGTTGGCAATAAGAAGGATCCAAGAGAGGGTAAGCTTAGCCTAAATTGGGAAGGACCATATCGAATCATTTCGGTTACCGGCAATAGCGTATATCGGCTGGATAATAATGATGGCAAGGAGCTGCCAAGACCTTGGAACACAAGCAATTTGAAGTTTTTATACCATTAATTTCTGTTTTTTTTTGTAAAGATTTTATTAGCCGAAGTATTAATAAAACTGCTAGCTCGATTTTGTTTTTATGAAATGTTGTTGAAACTTGTGCGATAAGACTAAATAGTCTTATGATGATGTTCCCATGGTGAACATGACGAATAATTTAGACTTGCTATGGTAGTAGAGTTGAACTCAGTTGGCGATGTTCCTGAATGAAATATGACGAATAACTTAGACTTGCCATGATAGTAGAGTTGAACTAAGTTTGCGATGTTTTACATGACGAATAACTTAGACTTGTCATGATAGTATAGTTGAACTAAGTTGGCGATGTTTCCGAATAAAACATGACGAATAACTTAGACTTGCCATGATAGTAGAGTTGAACTAAGTTTGCGATGTTTTACATGACGAATAACTTAGACTTGTCATGATAGTATAGTTGAACTAAGTTGGCGATGTTTCCGAATAAAACATGACGTTTTTATGAAATGTTGTTGAAACTTGTGCGATAAGACTAAACAGTCTTATGATGATGTTCCCATGGTGAACATGACGAATAATTTAGACTTGCTATGGTAGTAGAGTTGAACTCAGTTGGCGATGTTCCTGAATGAAATATGACGAATAACTTAGACTTGCCATGATGGTTGAGTTGAATTAAGTTTGCGATGTTTCCGAATGAAACATGACGAATAACTTAGACTTGCCGTGATGGTAGAGTTGAACTAAAACAATGATGTTTTCGAATGAAACATGATGAGTAACTTAGACTTTGCCATGATGGTAGAGTTAAACTAAGTTTGTGATGTTTCTGAATGAAACATGACGAATAACTTAGACTTGCCATGATAGTAGAGTTGAACTAAGTTTGCGATGTTTTACATGACGAATAACTTAGACTTGTCATGATAGTATAGTTGAACTAAGTTGGCGATGTTTCCGAATAAAACATGACGAATAACTTAGACTTGCTATGCTGGTAGAGTTGAACTAAGTTTACAGTGTTTCGGCATGAAAACGAAACCGGCCATGACTTGGTCAGTTTGTTAAAGCTGAGGAGTATGGCACTCTTGGTGCACTAAGGTTAAGCCTTAAGTGCATCGTTTAGATGAGCCGAACATGATGACCTCGGTCAAAAATGTCTACAAAAGACTTGGGTGATAACCATGTGATGCGTCCTTAATGTGAACATAAGTGTTACTCAGGTTCACATTAGGGGACAGGAAGTGAGAATGAGCATAACACTTGTAAAATTTTTGAAATAATTTTGCAAGTTAAAGTTATTCGAGATCATTGATAGGTGGAACTATTCGAAATGAGTTAATCCGAGATGAGAGTACTGTATTGTACCCGAAGTGTAATTGTCCGAGATATCCAGCCAAGGTGCTAGACTTAGAAGGGTGAAGTCTTGCCAGAAGACAACAAGTACAAGTGAAAAAACAGCACTTGAAAAAATTTGATGAAATATTTTTAAGTGTTGTTTGGCCGAGATAAATAGTAATTGTTGTTATTCAAGGTGATTAGTATGTTCAACTCCAAGCTGTGAATGTATCCGAGGTCTGGGGATCTGAGATGGGGATCCAAGTTACTAGACTTAAAAGGATCAGAAAAATTCTAAGTATGAAACAATATACAAGGCATAAAGCAAAGACAATAAGCATACAAGGAAAATATCCAACACTTAGAGGAAAAAAGAATATTTGTATTCACAGAAGCAACTTGTTCAAACACAAAAAGGCACATCGGCCTGGTATAAAAGATAACTTGTTTAGTTACAAAAGATGGCACCTCGGCCTGACAAAACAGAAAATTGTTCAACATAAGGGATTACAATTACTGAAAAGAGAAAGTTCAAAGAAAAGAAAATATCTAAGTGCTGGGATCTTGGGCAATGTTTTCGGGCTGTGAAACCTCGGTTGTTGGTAGCATCACAGCCTCGACAAACAGTTAAGCAGACTTCTTGGCAGCCACCTCAACGTCAATTTCAAGAAGAGTTGCCTACAGGCTCTTCTTGGCTACCCTGACCTCGACATCAGTATTGGCAGCTGAGGTACTCTTGGAAACCTCATCCCCATCCTTCTGAGTCAAGTCCAGGACTTGATCATTTAGAGTAGGGAACTTGCCCCCAACAGTAACCCTCGCCTCTTCGTCGACTTCCTCTTCGTCGACCTCCTCCTCCTCGGCCTCTTTGTCAAATTTGTTAAGAGAGAAAGAAAAATGCACGTTGAGACGACTTATGTCTCGGAGGGGCGAATCTTTGGGCACGGATAGTTCCTTGAGAGCTGTCATCCAGCCGAGATAGTAACCTTTGTTGCAGGTCAGATTCACTTGCTCTTTGTACTGGTGTCGAACATCGGCTTGCCCCTTTGCATAAGTTTTCTCATCGGCGGCCTTTATCTCGACCTCCTTAGTCTCGAGGGCTTTGGCAAGCTTGGCTTTGGCATCAGTAGCCCTAATGTCGGCAGCCTGGGCATTAGCCTTGGCAGCTTTGTTAACGGCCTTAGCGGTTTTGACTTTAGCCTCAGCCTTGCTTTGAGAAGTCTGGTAGTGTCACACCCCAAACTCGCCCTTAAAAGTTTGGGTATGACCGGCCCGTTGATGGCCTCAAACTAAATAATTAAATAGTGTATGAACATCATTTATAACATTGGGGCCTAAAATGGAAGCAATTAATAATCCAATATAACATCCATTGAGCAGTGTTTAAATGCCAGAATCACAAAACGTTTCATTACACAGTGTAGCATATACATAGGTCGCATCTATATACATATATATACAAAACCCGCCTAGTAAATGGGGTTGTAACCAGAACATTTAAGAGTGGAATTTATACATATTAATCAACGTTTGACAAAATTACTAGTGACCTAACATATGTGCCATGATAGGAACCCTACAAACAAAAGGCTTCACTTTAGTCGAACTAATAGGCGGGTCGACAAAAGAGCTGCTAGAGCAGGACTAGAACTGGCCTCCGGGCTGATTACCTACATAGATATACATAATACAGAGTGAACGAAGCTCAGTGACTAATAACAATGGAAAGCAGTTCATATGAATAAGCTTAAGTCACACAGAATGTAAACACTTAATTCACGTTCTTGTCTTTACTTTGCATTTATTCCCAAAACGGCCTCAGGCCCAACATTATACAGAACGGCCTTAGGCCCAACATATCAATAGCTGTTTGAAACATTGGATGGTAGGTAGAACATCGATATGTACACTACCTCTCTCGGCCTTAGGCCATGAGTCATAAACGGTTCACACTATATTAGGGTCAGTGAGACATCGACATATCCCCGCCACCCTCGGCCTTAGGGCCGCCAATAGTTATTAGCTCACATCAGAACAGCCTCAGGCCCATTGGTGACCTACACACAGCATGCAACCCACAAGTCAGTTACTTTTCCTTAGACAATATTTAATTCGTTCAACTTGTATTTATTTTCAAGCAGCATAGAAAGTTCAAATGCACATTTAGCAATCCCAGAGGGTTTAACAGAAGAAAAGAAGCACACAGAATTTTTCCCCTTGGGCCGCACATGTGGAAATCCTTCGCCGCACGTCTGAGAAGGTGGGTCGCACGTGCGTCTCGCACGTGCTTTTATTTCAGAACCTCAAGTCTACCCTCCCTTGTTTTCCCTATTTTCCGCATGTGCGGCTATGAGCCCCGCACATGTGGTGGTACCTCCCACATGTGCAGCCATGAACCCTGCACGTGCGGTTGTAACCCCTGTTTTGAGCAATCTGAACCAAGCAAAAACCCAAGCCAAATCAGCCAATATCAACTAAAATCCATTTATATTCCAATAATAGTCTATTTATATTCAATTGTCTAGATTGAAGAAGTCGATTTAATGTAGTATTTTTAGGAAACATTTGAAATGTAGAATAATCCTAGAGAACAACTTGATTTACTTCCTAACACGGGTCGAAATTTATCATTTCACCTAAACAAATTTTATGTAAAATTCATCAAATTCCAAAATTAGGGAAACTAAATTTTAGTGCTACCATACACAAAAGAAGAAGAAGATAAAGTAACACAAGTTCATCATACAAAAGTACCACACTACACCAAAAAACAGAAAAATTAACCCTTTGGAACTTTCAGAACAATGAACTAGATAGAAAGCAAAACCCACATTGCCATTGAAAACAATAATTATGTACAAAACCCAGTTCTATGACCAGAACCAGTAAGAATGTATATAAATGTATTATTATATGAAATAGGGGTCAAATTTGGATCTAAACCATCAAAATGCAAGAAAAACCCACATGTAAACCACTGCCAATCATGCGATTAACGGCATTGTTGCCACCTCCACCTACTCCGAGGACCTTGATCTTGGCCACGTCCATTGGAGTAAACGAGCTACTACAAGTACAGTAACGCTTCGAGGGACTTCGACGACGAGCCTGGAAGGAGAAACATGTTTTTGAGACGAATAGAGAGAAGGTTTTGTGGTTAAATCCACTGAAAATTGAGGAGGAAGAAGAAGAACACATTATTAACTCAGCTGGGCTTGTGAGTTGAAAGGTAGCCATTTGTGCCACTGTTTGGTTTCCAAGAAAATGAGGACAGGGAGTGGGAATGAGAATTTGTTTTCTCTACTGAGAGACCGAGAGAGAGAGAGAGAGAGAGAGAGAGAGAGAGAGTAATCGGAGGTCTAGGGTTTTAGAATTTGACGGCTTCGAAAATTTTTCCGCAAAAACGTTAAAAGGTCTCGTGTGGGCCAAATTCATTTTCTCAGGGGTTTTTTTACATTGACAATTTCTGACATTTGATTCAATTACATTTCTGACGTTTTAAAAATTACCGCCTTGTTTGGTTTGTATTTGAGAAACATGTTTTGAGATAAAAAGTACGAAAATTTGTTTGGTTTGGTTTTTTTTCAAAAGATGTTTTGAAAAATTATTTTGAGAGAGAATTTTGAAAAAAGTGATTGATTTGATGTGTATGAGAGAGAGATTTGTTTGGAAAATTTGTAAGTCAAACAAGTTTTTGAAAAAAATTTTAAGAAAATTTGTTTGATTTGATTACTTCTGAAAACTTATTTGTAGAGAATTTTTCTCAAATTTTTTTGAGAAACACAAACCAAACAAGGCCTACATTTCTACTTTTGTAGTTAATAATTTTGTTTCATAAACTCACTTACTTATATAAAAAGATAAAAATTCCTAATAAAAAAAATTAAAGAAATTACATTGAAAAAAAGTAAAGTAAAATAAAAAAACAAATGAAGTAAAACAAAATAAGAAAAGAGAGAGTGTATGAGTTTAATATTTTCATTCTATCTAAATAATTACAATGGTAGGGGGTTAGTATAATTTTTCAAACAGTAAAGGTGATATGTATTAAACTCAAATACCAGGGGTGTAAGTGTAATTTATCCAAAAAATAAAAATAAAATAAAATAAAACTCAAATGGAAAAAAAAAAAAAAATCTAGGCGCACAAACGATCGAACACAGAAACTATGCATCCAGACGACTCCCAAACGATCTGTCAGACAACCAGCCAGAGCTTGTTGACCATGACTGTCATAGTGCCTTCGATCGTCCGAGCAATCGTTTGGTGGAACAATTTCTGCTATTTGATTCTTTGTATGCATAGCATTGTTGAAAAAAATTATATTTAAGAGCATCCACACTAAACTCTTCAAATTTTTAGTCAAATTAAAAACTATTCATTATTGTTACTCACCTTTTAACACCTACTGCATCAAACT